TTGGTTTTTTTTTTTTTTTTTTTTTTTTGTACCGTGCGGTGAAGGTTTGGTTTAGCCAGGAAGAAATGGGGGAAAAAATGGAAACAACTCCAGGTAGGTTATTTCCATCGCTCTTCGGCGTCTGTGGTGGGGGGAGCTGGAAGGGAAGAAAGGCTTCTTTTTTTTTTTTTTTTTTCCAGCTTTGCTTTTCCCTTATAAAAGCAACTTGGGAGCCTGCGTGGGGTTGGGTTGAGCACTTACTCAGGGCACTGAGTTTCAAAGTTCACCCCCAAAAATATAACGGGAGGCGGGATGGGACTGTGTCAGCTTCCACTGCTCCCCAGCACAGGGATAATTGGAAGGAGAAGTTGATAATCGGAAGGAGAAAAATCTCCCAGACTTGGGGGGTTCTGGAGCAGGAACGGACATCTAATTCCATGGGATGTGCACCCCAGTATCCTCCTTTTTTTGAGGGGTGAGGGGACCCTTCTGAGCCGTGAAAGCCAGGGGAAAGGCTGTTGCGTATTCAGAAGGACCATGACAGCGGATAATTAATGTGCTTGAGCCTTAAATCAGGCTTAGTCCCGCTGCCCAGCCGGATTGCAAACCCCGGGTGGCACCACATTCCCCCGTCCCCCATTTTATCACCTTTTGTATTGTACCGAAAGCCAGAGCGGGATTTTTGGTTTGGAAAAGCATCGCTAGGCGAGGTTTTGCCGCTGGGTCAAAGTTGGGCTGGGAAGGGCTCTGTGCGCCTCAAATTAAAGGAGGTCTAAATCTGGTCTGTCCTGCCTGATCACTCACAGAAATGTAGGTTCTCATATATGTAAAATGATCATCTATTGTCTCCAGCGTTAATCCTGAACTAATTCTGCAGCTGTGGGCTCAATTTGGACCCACGGTAGCCAAAACCGCAGTGGAGGTTCGATGGGTGTAAAGCGGGAATTGCAGCTGCAAGTGTTTTCCCACCGTAAAAGCTGCTTCGGGGAGGTGCAGATCTGGGCACCCCTTGAACTGTGTCTTGCAAGAAATAGGGGCTGATTTTGGGGCGGCTTTGTGGGTTTTGACCAGTGTTGTTGCAGCGGTTTTACTCTTGCGTTCCCCAGAGGTGCCAAGCCCCGGGCGCTGCTGTAGAGTTATCTCCTCCCAGGAGAATAGCTGCTGCTTCCCGGGATTAATTCAGGTGCTGGATCGAATTTCCAGCAGGAAAAAAAAAAAAAAATTAAAAAACCACCAAGAGCTGGGTTGTGACCAGATGCCGGGCTGGTGCTTTTTCAGGCACGAAAGGGTCATCCAGGTGAATAAACCCCGTGAATTTTTGCCCCGGCGTTGTTGGTTTAGCAACCAGCTCTTTACTCGGGTCAGCGAGCGGTGGGGAGCGCAGGCGGCCGCCGGGAAGGACGTTACGTGTTCAGAGATGGGTTTACTCCTTAAACTGGGGGAGGAAGGGGTAAAAAAGCTAAAAAAAAAAAACCCCAAAACCCACCCAAAAAGCTCTTTATGTGCAAGCTTTCCTTTATCTTTTGTGGTTTCCAGGGGTTAAAGTGTGTCACAGCCCTGAGACCCCAAAATGAGTCGCTGGGGGGGACCCTCTGGCAGGTCGATGCAGGGGGGGACCCGTTCTTAAGCACCCAAGGGGGGGAATTGGGGCAGAATTGGGAGCAGCAACCCCCAAGCTGAGGATTTGCAAAGCTCTAACCCCTCTGCGCCCTCTCCTGCAAAATTGCAAATCCCCCTTTTTCTACAAACGCGTCCAGAGATCCCACCCAAGATGAATATTTCCAGCAAACTCCTTTTTTTTTTTTTTTTTTTTTTTTTTTTTTTTTTTCTGGCTCATTGCGTTTGCAGTGACTTTGGGGTTTGGGGGGAAATTAAAGTTTGGGCTGCAGAGCGAAGCAGGCGGTGTGAGGCTGGGGGAGGGTTGCTGGTATCTCCCTCATTTCATCCCCTCTTACAAGAACAGCACTTAGGCTTAAAGAGCCTGAAGGCCTCCAGGCATGTAGCCCAGCTCTAAAATTAACAGGAATATTAATAATCATAATAATGAAGCTTATGGAAGTGGAAGGAGGACTTGACAACAGGGCTCTCAGACCTGGTGGTGGGGCTTAAAGAGCTTAAGCGGTTAAGCAGGCTCAGCCTAGAGTGCAAGGGACATCCTATTCTTTCACGACGGCCACAACTTGGGTTTCATCTCCTTCGGGGGGGGGACAACAGGGGAATATTCCGGGTTTTTCCTCTGCTCGCACACAGCAGTTGAGTGACCTGCTTTCCTGGGGCGCCCTATTACCTGACTTTGTTATTATGAGGTTTGAGAACAGGAGGATTCTGCTAAACAAAGACATTTTCTGAGCTGGATTAACTCCTGCTGTATTAGGAGAAGGCAAAGACCCAAGATTTTATTAAAAAATACAGAATTTCCACAGAGCCTGGCGTTGGGCTGATTTTAGCCTCCTGTTTGAATAACGGGGAAACTGAGGAGTGGTCCCATCCGTGCCATGTCCAGGTTCCTCCCTGTGACCAAACTTATGAGGCTTTGCTAGAAAAGATGGAGAGGGTTAAAAGAAAATCCAGCCTGGCTCTTTTTTTGGGGGGGGAGGAGGAGGAGGAGGAGGAGGCAGGTCCGTCACCCTCCAGTGGCTGCGGGGAATTCGCCAAAGATGAAAAACCCTTTTCCCCTCGATCAGATTTGCAGGCAGGTGATGTGTCGCTGCTCCCCTTCCCAAAACACGCTGCAGGGAGCCGGAGGCAATAAGTGCCCTCCCCAGCCCGGCTGGTTATTTAATTCCATATAATACACCCGGACCACCAATTCCATATCCACCAAGAAGCTGGATTTTTCCTGCAGAAATGGCGAATTTTATGATTCTCCTCGGGGACCCAGTGGCGAGGACATGTGCAGCCCGGCACACGGGGCTGGAGACTGTAAGGATTTGGTAGCTGATGGCCGGTGGCTCTAACCTGGCAAAACCAGGCTCTGCGGCAGGGGGAATGTGGGGTACCCCATGGAAATGGGGCACAAAATGCTCCTGGAAGGGGAATTTGAGTGTGTTGTGTATAGGGGTGGGTTCCTCAATTCCCAGCCCAGACCTACATAGGTCCTACAGAGCCTCTGCTCATCCTTTCCACCGACATCCCATATCTCTGCACAGGGATTTTGGGGCAGGATTTGAGTTTTCCCACTCCTCAATGTCTCTCACCTTTAACATTTCCCGCAAAACCTCCTTTTTTTTTTTTTTACCCCAGGATCCCAAACAACCCTACAGATCCCTTTTTACCCCCTCCAGGGCTTTCCACACGGGAATGATTCAGGTTCATCTTGTCACCAGCTGATGATAAACCTCTTTCCCCCCCCCCCCGGCAGTGTCACCGGCTGCCGAACGCCTCCGTTACATCTTGGGGGAAGATGATGAGCCCCCCAACCCCACACTCTTCACGGAGATGGACACGCTGCAGCACGACGGTGAGGAGATGGAGTGGAAAGAGTCGGCCAGGTGAGGAAGGGGGAGATGCTTTGGGCTGAAAACATGTCAGGTAAAGATTCCCCCCCCCTTAAATATCCCTGGTTGGAAACGGGGTCAGAGAATGAGCATCACCTTTAGTCAGGTTAAAAAAAAGCCATGCCTAAATTAGGAAAATGCAGAAAACACGGCGCTTTGGGAGGCTTCGCACGGCAGCCGCAGCCTGCCAGGAAGGAGGAGACGGAAGGGAGGAAGATTTCTCATCTTCTTCCACATCTCCCCAGGCTGGATCGACTCCAGAGCCGGGGCTTTTCCCATTCCCAGTTGCAGCATGAGAGCAAAACCCAGCAGAAAGGACCGAGGGCGTGAAAATAACGGGGTAACATGCTGGGAATCTGTAGAATTAGAGCAGAGAGCTGGGAAATCGGGAAATGGGACATAAAGAACATTTTCCCAGGTCTTTCTTACCCCCCAGACTTTTGTTGGCCAGGCCAAGAGTTAAACTTCTCCTACCCCTCGAGCGATAATAAAACCCCACCCACTGCACCTTTAATAAAAGTATTAGAGGAGTTGCAAGCGGCACTTGCTTTATTGAATTAGGAGCTTATCCAAGGGAAAAATCTCAAATCCAAGTGGGATTTTCTCTTCCTCAGCCGTGTGAGGGCTAGGGGGGGCCGGAGGGGTTGGGGGGAGCTCTGGGCAGGGAGTCAGGGGTGCTGATGGTATTCCAAGCCCTTTCTTTTCAGTAGCACCTGTGGGATTTCCAAACCTGGGCGCAGAGTTTTACCCGAGGGGTGGGGAGAAAGCAGGATCAGGCCCTGGGGGTGCTCGTCCTACCTCTTGGGCTGGTTCTTTGCATCACCAAAAATTTGGGAAGTTCTTAAGCATCCTCCTGGTTGACAGCCCTGCTCAAAGTGCTGCAGGGCGGGGATGCTGTTGGTAAAATCCTGTTTGTTTTTTTTTTTTGCATAGGTCTGTATCTACTCATCCTTCCCCCCCCAAAAAAAACTCAGGAGGCAAAAAATCAGCGATTTCCTGGGGATTTTCACCAGGGAGGGCTTGAGATGGAGGTTTCCAAATTCCCCCTGGCAGGGTGGAGGTTTCTCAAGTCTCGGATTTCCGCTCTCTGGCAAGGAGCAGTTCAGCCTCTTTAGCCGCAGGAGAGCGGCTCCTCGGTGGGAGCAGCACCACCTGCGGCTAAATCCGCAAGAAATGGAAATAAGTGGAAATAAAGACGCCGGGCGCTGAAGGGAGACGGGGCTTTGTTGTGGCCTTGGCGAAAGCATCACAGGATGCCAGTCCCAGGGCAAAGGTGCTGCTGGAATCGTGCCTCGAGTCCCACACACACCGACCTGAGCTGCCACCCTGCGTGCACACTAATAACCCACTTTCGGCAGGAAAACGGGGCAAAAAAAAAGAAACAAAAAGCAACTTAATCGGCTTTGGGCGAGCACCGGCGGGACTTAGTGGGTGCTACGGCGGGAAGCTTGAATTTCTTCCCAATAAAAGCAGCGTTGTTTGAAGGGCTGGAGAAACAGTTCCTGCAAAGAAATCGGGGTGGAGAGCTTTGGAGTGATGGGCACTAGAGCCAAATCTTTTTTTTTTTTTTTTTTTTTTTTTTTTTTTTTTTGGATGTGCTGGGGTTTTGTCCATAGTACAGACCATCATGTCACTCCCAGATAATATTTTGGGGCTTTTTTGATAGGGACACCCAGGATTTTCTCTTTGCAGCAGAATTTTAATGCAGCCCCCTGCAGCTGATGCAATCCCGGGTCTCCCCACCCTTCCCCTGCAGCATTTAAACTATTTCCAAAAACCCCCATCTCCTCCTACATCCTTTCTGTCTGTGCCCTCAGTGGTGGCAGGAACCCAAATCCCGGTTGTACCAGTTAAAAGTTGTAAGGTTAAGCCTTGTGAAGTCTAATCCACCGAGCCTGCAAACCTCCTGTAAAGGAAAAGCAGCTTTCTTCCCCAAATCAGCATCTTGCCGAGAGCTGCCTGCCCTCCCCGGAGTCGTGAATCCTGTTCCCGGGGAGCTGGATCAGCCGCCATTCCCGAATTTGCTCTGAAGTCTTTGGTTTGTAAAATTAAGGGAAGGAGGTGGAAGGGCTGATTTCCAAGGGCTTGCAAACCCTCTCGTCTCCCACCGCGGGCGTGAAGCACTCCGGCTGAAGTCTGAGCATTGCTAAGGAATTAAAGAGCTGTTTGCAACGCCCCAGGTTTTTGCTCCGTGCAGGTGAAATCCTGTCCGAGGCAAGGTCAGCTCCATGGGAAAACCTCCCAGATCTCGCAGGAGCAATTTGTGGAGGGCGAAATCTGCAGGGTTGACTTCAGCGGTGGAGCCAGGAGGTTTGGCTCCGCTCTGCAACCACGCAAGCAGCACTTTGTCTAACGATGTTACTGGATTTCTCCATCCCCATCCTGAATAACGAGCACACACTTTGCAGGATGAATTATTTCAGGCCCACGAAGCCACCTGCAGAAGGGAAACGCCGCAGGAAAAACAATTCTGTTATTCTCTTCGCCCGTCCTCACAGCTGCTGCTCTCGTTTCAGGTGGATAAAGTTTGAAGAAAAGGTGGAGGAAGGCGGGGAGAGGTGGAGCAAGCCCCACGTGTCCACGTTGTCTTTGCACAGCCTGTTTGAGCTCCGGACGTGTCTACAGACGGGAACGGTGCTCCTGGACTTAGACGGCTACTCTTTGCCCCAGATTATAGGTAGGAGCTGGCAGGTATCAGGGGGTTTGGATGGCTTTTTTCCGCATGTCCTGAAGCGCTGGGAACTGATTTCAAGGCATTTACTTGCTACCCGCAAATAGAGACCAATAAGCAAAGACAGGAGTCGAGAGCCATCCACTTGGCTCAAGAAGTGTTGTTGTCCTGAGCTTTCTGGGAGGGTTTGCAGGGGGGTAACCCATCACTCGGTGCTTGCAGATGACGTCATCGAGAAGCAGATCGAGGACGGTCTGCTCAAGCCAGACCTGCGGGATAAGATAAGCTACGTGCTCCTCAGGAAGCACCGTCACCAAACCAAGAAGCCAATCCACCGGTCCTTGGCCGACATCGGCAAGTCCGTCTCCTCCAACACAAGTGAGTCCTTGGGGTCCAACCTGTGCCTGGTTGCATCCTCAAGTCTTTGGTGAGCAAGCCCAGTGGGAGGAAGGTCTCAGGAGAAGAAAAGGGGGAAAGTCAACTATCTGTGACACCCAACTCTTTACTTCATTGAGAAAGACCCCGAAAGCGCTGCCACTGGTGGCTTTAAGGGTGGGAGGGAGCCAGAAGCCAAGAAGATGTCTGCTGAGACAGACAACGGCGTTGTGTGAGGGACAACGGCGTTGTGTGAGGGACCACAGTGTTGTGTGAGGGACAACGGCGTTGTGTGAGGGACAACAGGGTTGTGTGAGGGACAACGGCGTTGGCAGTCACTTGGCCAAGGGACTTTCTGGCAGAGCAGCCTACAGACAAATCCAGTCTGCTCCGTGGTTGAACCTGCCTATTTTTGAGCCATTATAAAAGGGGATTTGTTTGTTTTCACGCTAGATTATTTACTTAGGTTTAAACAGAGGTCATTTGGTGGAGCCCGGGATTTGCCAGGCTTTGGCTGCTCCCTTGCGTAGACAGAAACAGCAACGCCCAGGCTCAAAGTGCACGTGGAAGAGGCCATCAATAAGCAATATTCCCGCCCCAGGGGCGTCCCCAGGTTTCAAAGCAACCATTATCCGCTAGATATTTGAGCTAACATTTGCCCAGAAGCTCTCCAGATGGAGCACAACTTGGAAATGTTGTGGTTGGTCTCTGTAGACAAGGAAATTATCTTTTGCATTTCTTGCTGAGATAATGACACTGCTTTGAGTTTGCAAACGGGGACACCAAGGAAAAGACGGTCATTGGCAGGAGCGGAGGGGTCCCTCCCATTTCTTGTGAAATAAATTGAAATAAATTGAAAGTAGGGCCAGGCCCAGCGGGAATTTCATCGTTATTTTGAGTGGGTTTAACACAAAAAATGAGGATGCTGTAGTTGCAGCTCAACAAAACCGGTCCAGATGGTTTTCCAAAAGGAAATTTGGGAGGTTGCCTGAGAAAATGCTGGGCTTAACACAGAAGATGCATGCGGGGAAAGGGAAGTCTTTATGGGAAGGTAATTCAGTTTAAACATCCGAGATGAAAAACGGGACTTGTCACCAGTTTAGGGAGGAGAAACATTCACGTGAAACTTGGCAGTGGCCAATGTAAATATTCTGAGGTGAGAAGTTCACGGCAAATTTCAAGTGTAGGTTTCTTTGGAGAATTAGGAGGTGAAAAAAAACCAAATAAAGTGTTGGGTCTTGCTAAGGAACAGAAACTGAACTTCCGAACCCATTTATAGCCTCGAGGAGAGCATTGGTGGGGTGGGGGGCGGTGCAGGCTCCTTGCACGGAGCCTCCGCAGCAGAAGGACTTGGGTTAAGGCAGTTTATTCTTTGCTAATGGGAAAATAACTCCGGGTGGGATAAAAGTGGAAACGGGAGCGGGAGGGAAGAGCAAATCGCTGTTGCGTCAGCGCTGGAAGGGTCGCGTCTGTAGCAGGCAGCGGGTTTTCAGCCCGGCCTCTTGCCTTCAGCATCGCCCAAAGCTTCCCCATGGCATCTCCTCTAACGGCTCCTCTCCCCCAGCCCGCAGCCCCGTCCGGAGCCCGGGCACCGGCACCGCCTTCCACCGCTCCACCGAGGACCTGCGGATGCGGCAGAGCGCCAGCTACGGCCGCCTGCGTAAGCCGGGGAGGGCTGGGGGGAGGCAGAAACGCTCCTAAAGGAAGCAGGGAAAAAAAAACCAAAACAAAAACACAAAACCCAAACAATTTCAAGTTGCAATATGAGAGTGGGCAGTTGCAATGACAAGGGGGTCCCACCACAGCCAGGAACGAGACGTGGTTTGCATAGCCACGGGGTGACCGATGTCAGAAAAACTCATATTCTTCTGTTTTCATCTTATTGCGCGTGGTTTGCAAGCCCAGCTGACACAAATCGTTTCATTTTCCTGGCGCTGAATTCCCCACTGCCACGTCTTCCCCTCTGCAGGTGGGGCCGAAATTCGGCCGCGCGTCACAGGGGTGGTTTTCTCACCTTTCTCTTATCTCCGCCAGGTCACGCGCAGAGTCGGAGCATGAACGACATCTCGGACACGCCGAGCACCGACCAGGTAATCACCCGTGAGCACATCGAGCAGCTCCAACGTGGCCTGCGGTTGTTGAGGTCTGTGTGGGCCTTGTGTGCCCTCGCTCGGCCGACGCCCACACAAATTCCTAATTAGGGAAATTAATACACATATTAACGTGTGTATTTTAAAATTAATTCATAACTCAGGGAGAGGCTGTCCCGGAAATAATACTTGTGCTTGCAGCTTGAACGCAGAGTTAGGGTTGTACAAGGATGCTGGTGTATCTTGAGATCCTTGGGGCGGAGAAAAAAAATTTCCTTAATACCTTTAGGAAAGGAAGAGCGCAGGGATCTTAAAAGAGCCTTTGCTTGGCTGGGTGAGGGCAGGTTGCAGGGAATAAATCCCCGTCTTGGCTCTGCAAACGTGAATGCAGCGCTCATGGTAATGTCTGTCAATACAGAGGTGGGTTCCGTTTCCCCCTCTGTTTGCAGCGTGATGAATGTGGGTTTCTTAATACCAAGCTCAGCTGAGAGTCTGTCGGGCGCTTCTCCGCGCTGGCTCGCTGGGAAGGAGGTCGGGCTGCTCGGGTGGTTCGTGGGCAGATCTCTGCTTGACGATGCGATGGATCGGCGGGGGGTTTGTGCTCTACTTCGGCTGGGTGTCCCATCCCCATCCCAATATCCAGGCTCTTCACCTGGGAGCTGTTGATGCGTTATGTGGGCTTTAGTTTTCTTTGATCGCGATTTCCGCGTCAACCTGATGGAAAATCAATCTCGACACGTGTTCGTAGGGGACAGTATGGGATACCCGGGCGGCGTTTCCCCAGGGATGTCCTTGCTGGGCTCACATGGGGCGATGCAGTTTAGGGGGAAGAGAGGGATGGAAATTCACGTGTTGCCGGGAGTCACAGGACAGGGATGCCACGATAGCAGGGAGGCAGAAGATTTTTTTTCCAGGGCACGTTCCAAAATTAGAACTTGCAATAAAGGAAGCCAACTGCCCACTAACGAACCCCAAATATCAGCCTCCAGCAGTGGGGTTCGGAGGGTTAATCCCAAAATATGCAAAGCATTTAGCTTTAATCACCCTATTAGGCCCACTACAAAGGGACTTTTTAAGTGTTACACGAAGCTTAGTGGTCACTGTTAACTCCTGCTCTTGCTTATTCCAAGCTGCATTGGAGGAGTTGCTTTATTATTATGATTTTTTTTTTTTCCATTTGGGTTTAAAAGATTAGAAAGGGGAGAGCTTGCTGCCCGGCTCACATGCCTCCCCTCATGCTGGCATATAGATTATAATAACACCCTGCCTGGGTTGGTATTGAACCCTTTTAAACTAATAATGAAAGAGCTGCAGGGGAGAAGAGACCAGGGGAATAAATCCATGAACAAGGCTTCCCGCTTCCATTATTTGTTCCTGTTCCGAGGATGTGACTGGGGAGGAATAAGTGACAAAAACATCCCCCGTGCCCGGCGCCAAGCAGTGTTTCTGCATTATGGAGGGTAGTCTTGCAAAAATGCATGCGGGCTTGCTCCGGGATCTGTATTTTTTTGGCTCGGATTTTCTGCGGGGGCATTGAAGAGGATTTTCCTCGCGTAGACCCTGGTGCTGCAAAGCGCCCTTCGCAAACCGCCCCGTCGCACGTTGCGTTAGGGAGCCCCGAGCATGCGATTTCAAGTTAATCTCGGGCTTAGCGATGGTTTTGAATAATGAAGAAATTCAGCCTTATGAAGTCTGACTGGTTTATTCTTGGATATGGCTCTCGAATCCCCACCTCCGGGAGTCCTGGGACCATTAGAGATCAAGAGGTTTGAGCCTGCAGCTTCAGCTTTTGAGTTCAGGGTGTGGAAAACAGGGGGGGGAAAGCCAAATTCTGGCAGTTGCTCCCTTCTCCACCCTCGTCTTTCCAACAGTTGAAGAACAAGTTCATCAAGAAGATCCCCAAGGACGCAGAGGCCTCCAATGTGCTGGTGGGAGAAGTGGAGTTCCTGGAGAAGCCCTTCGTGGCTTTCGTGCGGCTCCTCCAGGCAACGATGCTGGGAGGGGTGACAGAAGTGCCCGTCCCCACCAGGTGAGCGCAGTTCCTTCAGGTCCAAAGCGCCAAGTGGTCTCACAGCTTGGATGCCAGTGGTTCAAGGTTGCCAACACAGCACCTTTCTCTTCCCAGGTTCCTCTTTATTCTCCTTGGTCCCGTGGGAAAAGCCAAATCCTACAACGAGATCGGCAGAGCCATTGCGACTCTCATGGTGGATGACGTGAGTAGATGCAACGCCCAGCCCTCACCGGGAACCCCCTTGCTCAGAGCCAAGAAGGAAAAGCAATTTTCATCCTATTGCCCAACGAATGAGCTTAAAAATCCCATAATGACGTGGGACGTGTGCCTGCTGGACGCCACCGCCAGGCTGACGCCTCTCCTCTCTCAACCTCCAGCTCTTCAGCGACGTTGCCTACAAAGCCCGGAATAGAGAAGACCTGATTGCTGGCATAGATGAGTTCCTGGATGAAGTCATCGTCCTGCCGCCTGGCGAGTGGGACCCCAACATTAGGATCGAGCCACCCAAAAAAGTGCCCTCGGCTGAGAAAAGGTGGGTGGGAGACATGGGGAAGGTGCCAGCCCTTTGGCCATCCACACCTCTCCTGGTTTGGAGAAGCTGGAGGAGGACAACAGTTGTTTCCCTTCATCCCTAGGAAGAATCTCTGCAAATATTCCAGAAATGCTGCTTTTTCAGCAGGTTTTTTTTTTTTTCCCCCAGATCAGCTCAGAACCGTTTCCACTCTGCAAAATCTGCATTACCCCCCTTGGGTTGAGCAAAGCCAGCTCTCGGTCTTTCCAAATTCACCCCAAAACCCAAGCTCTAGTGCAGGCAGGAAGCTACACCGTGGCCTTGGTGACGGTCCCTGCAGCAGGACCAGCGCGGTGGGGCAGGTGCCGTGGCCGATGGTGGTGGCTCTCTCCCACAGGAAATCCATTTTCTCGCTGAACGAAGTGGGGCAGATGAACGGCATGGCCGGCGGGGCGGGCGCCGGGGGCGGTGGAGGAGGCAGCGACGATGGGGACATGCCCGAAACTCATGACATCGGGGAAGAGCTTGCGTGGACCGGCAGGTGAGCAGCACCCCAGCACCCATCAACATCTGCCGGCTCACCCCGTGGTCTCCTGGGGCGCGGAGGGGTGAAATCCTTTCGGGCCCTGGCTTTTGTGCAGCACCGTATCTCTTGGTGGAAGGAACGTGCATCGGGTCCTTGGTGGTGTCTCCCCAGGTTTTGTGGTGGCCTCTATTTGGATGTCAAGAGAAAGCTGCCCTGGTTCCTGAGCGACTTCTATGAAGGTTTCCATATCCAGTCCATCTCTGCCATCTTGTTCATCTACCTGGGCTGCATCACCAACGCCATCACGTTCGGGGGCTTGCTTGGGGACGCTACAGACAACTACCAGGTCGAGTCCAAGGAGGCAGGGCTCACGTCAGCTTGGGAACGGCAAGCAGGGATGGGGTGGGGTAGGATGGGATGGGGTGGGATGGGAGGGGATGGGATGGGAGAGGATGGGGT